GTGTCCAGAAGCAATGAGCCAAGAACCTTAGAAATTAGGAGGGTTCCCAGGATCCTACTGAGGATGCAGGAGCAAGTCTGATAGAATAAAGATATTTAAAAATGTCCAGTTGCCAGCCTAGAGGGTTGAGAAGTCCCCTAGCTACATATATTGGCATCTTTGTTGGGCTTTGGATCTGCTGGATGGGTGCTGACACACATGAGGACCATGGACACTCCCTGAGCAGAACATCAGAAGTCCAGGGAACAGAAGGCCAATATCCCAACCTTCAGGAAGTTCACCTTGTGCTTTTTCTCCTCAAACACAGGTTTCAATAAAATGTAGTTTTTTCACCTGTCCAAGAGATGTCTGCCTGATAGAACTATAATGGATTTGATGAACTTAGGCTAATCATAGATTTCAAAAGAAAATTTGATGCTAAAGAAGATACACATAATTCCTACTATATCACACAAATTAAATGGAAACCATTACACTAGCTGATTTTAGAGATGCTTTGACACTCAAATAGTGAGTGTAGTGTAGAGGTACCCTACTTTAAATGAAGTCACCCACTTCTAAGACATGGTGTAAATGAAACATTACCAGCTTCTGTATTCTTGACCTGTAATTCTCAGGAAAAAAAAAAAACAAGCAAACAAATAAAAAAAAAAAAAACAAAACAAAACAAAACAAAACTAACTCATTTGCATATGACACTTGTTTAAAATATTGGTAAATGTCAAAAAGTAGTCAGGTTTTGGCTGAGGAAAAGTCACCTTCAAAAGTGACCTTCAACTCTGCATTGTGCTTAGGTGCATACATTCTTACAAGGATTATCCTCATGAAGAACAATCAGAAGGGATTGTACAATGCTTATCAAACTACAGCTTTGATGAGGGGAGGTCTGCAGGTACCATCAGGATATAAACAATTTTTAAGATCCCTTCCAACCCAAACCATTCCATGATATGATTGTATGACAGTATTATCCAATGGGGTATAACATGAAAGCAAATGTGCACTGGTGTTTTTTATCACTGAGGTCTGATCCCACTGATTAAATTTGTGATTGGAGAGAAAATTTATCATCTGACATAGTACCAAATTTTACCCATGTGCTATCCACCATTAACCAAAGGAAAACTGATCACTCCATCATCGTATAAATTGATCTCTGTGACTTGGCAAGGAGTCAGAGTGCTAATGATAATGACCCTGTAAGAGTATTAGGTCTAATACCCTGAGGCATTAACCTTTGTTTAACCAAAAGGTAAATCTTTTGATGAAAGACAACATTTTATTACTATCCACCTGCAACAAATAGCTCATTTCTTACTACTATAACTCAACTGCTGGTACTGAAGAGCAAAACTTGCACTTTACTTTCAGAGGCCCTTGAGTAATTCTCATTGAGGTCATGGATCAAAACTGATTATATAGTTGTGATAATCAAGTTCTGCAACGTGTTATGCCTTGCACAGAGGGCAACATCTGAAACCTGTAGAGAACGATGGGGTCTTGGAACAAATTACCCTTAGTAAAGAACACTGACCAAGTTGCAGGAAGAGGGTGGCCAAACAGGAACAGATATTCTTGATTCTCGGGCAGTACTGATCCTTTCAGCCACCCAATTATTTATTTTTTTTTTCAGAGAAAACCTACATAAAACTGAGTAGTCACTTTTATTGTCTAAGTTCAGAAAAAGCTGAAAATCCTAGAGTTGGTATTTTTCCATTGCATTTAAATGAATGTATAGAAAGATTATATTGCCAAAAGCCCATCAAGTGCAGTCTCACCCCAATCAACAGTGTTTGCTTCATCCTGAGCAGTCTCCTGTTCTGAGAGCACCTCATCTTTAATCAAATATGTTAAGTCAGCATTATGTCCTTGCATATTTCTCTACTCTGTATGATCAAGTTCTGCCCATAAGCTTGGGTCCCCTCATTGTCTCATAACAGATGGCTTTCTGTGGCACTCTGCATACCCAGGTGTGGCTGTACCTGCTCAGTTTCTACCAAAACACAGTCCCAAAGTTATGATTTTCCTGCAAAAGAATTTATTTTTCTTTACTGAAAGCAAATGTCATTGGGACTTTTGAAATCTTTAGAGTTATATGGCAGGCCTTACGAAGGAGCACTGGTTTCCAAATTTAATATTCTTTAATGTGTTTGTTAACAGAACATGGACATCTGCTTAATGCTTTCTTTACAAGAATCTATCAGATCTCCCCTTAAGTATTTATTGTCAACCCCAACTATCAGATTTTGCATTTACAAAACAGTACACGAAGTAAGAAGCAATATAGCTTGAAGTTCCAGAGCAAAAATCTAGTATAATCCCTTTTTAAAAAAAAAAAAAATACTATTTTGAAAAATGCATCTGCTTTTCCAAAAACTTTGAATCATGGTAATCTCATGCACCAAGCTGCTGTTTAAACAAAAGCCACCCATTTGCTACAAAAACAGAGAAGAAAAACAATGAACTAAGGGATACATAGTTGATACATAGTTATCCTCTTCATGCCAATGCTGCCAGCAAAGCTCTAGTGTAAATCAGATGCCTCATTGGAGAGAATTTTTGGCAGCCTAAAAAAACAGCAGCTACTGAAATATGTTTTTGAACCTCACTTATAAAACCAGTCTCACGTACTATAAACTCTCACTTGTTATTTTTAACCCTTGGGCTCCCACATTTTGTTTTCATTTTGTCAGAGCAAAGGAATATGAGAAAGATGTCTATTAGACTCCTTCTCTCAGCCCAAGGGTTAATTACTCAGTTTTGTAGACATTTGAAAATATTATGCTACCTCTAATGGTAAAATTGATAGAAGCTTGTTTCAGGCTCACTTTATGTCATTATGGCAGATTAAATTAACTAATCATAAATTATGCTGGCTAAAGTACATCTGCTACTCACTAAACCTGCAGAGAGAAGGGAAGGATTTTTTCCTACTGAATAAGAAGTGAATGCCATGCAGAAAATTAAAGACTTTTACAAACCAATAAACATATGTTCAAGCAACAAAAGCTGGAAGCAACCCAAAGATATCAGAAACAGATTCTGAAGACCATGGCAGGAGTCTAACGCTGAACCTGTGGCCACTGTGGAAAGGCATCGACACTGCAGTGCTGCAGGGGTATATCCACAGATCAAAGAGTAAAGACGTACATTAAAGAATAAAGAAGATCAATTAAACAAGAATTAACATGCTCACATTATTGTTAGATGTTCTTGAATACCAATATGACAAGACGTACATGCTTGCAGCCTCTACTTCCGATGTTACCTCTTCCATTTCCTCTTCAGAGGGGCTGAATACACCATTTCTGTAAGCTTGCAAGGAAAGAATGGATGTAAAGATCACTGATCTAGAAGAGAATACAGATTTTACAGCGGTCCTCTTCTTACTCTCTGCATTGCAGGATGCAGATGTGAAAACTGATACCATGTCAGTGTGACTAAATTCCTTAGCAGGGCATGAACAACTGAAGTTAGAGATGTGTGGGAAGAATGGAGAGAAAAAAAGGTATTCAAGACCTCTTCTTGCAGTATAAAGTGTTGAGTCCCTCTCTGAATACTCATGGTAGATCAACTCAATCAATCACATTAAATAAGAATTTTCTTTGTTTTGGAATAATATAAGGAAGAAAAGCAGTATTATATTGTATTACCTGTGAATTCATATATGCAGTTGTCATTTAAAAAGCAGGATGTTGTTTTGTGATGACAAGATATATTGCTTCTGCCTAGGAAACAAACTTCACTGAACACCTCCAAAAAGAGTCCAGGTAAGATGATCAGCCTCAGAGGGACCATGTCTATAGGGACTGTAAACAAAGTATTGACATGTCTATTGTGTTCCTTCAGGTGTCACAGAGCCTCATGAAGTTCTGGGGCCATCTGAGTAGCCCAAGCATAGTTAAAGTGTGAACTCTCTACATATAACCTTCTGGAAAGATGTAGCACTCTCTGATCCCTTATTCCTGGGTTCATACTCCATTAATTCCTTGAAGCACGTGAGGCTCTTAGTACCATCTGAGTCCTTTTCCTTCATGTTTCCCTCCCATTTCATATTCTCTGAACAATATTACCCATACCACCTTCCATGCATGATGCATACAGCTATAAAAAAAAAGTCTGAAGGAATGAAAAATAGCTTCAGGATTTAGAGGAAAGCAGTAAGGAAGAGAATTCTGTACCTCACCAATATGCAAAGAAAATGATCAGGTTTAGTCCTGCAGTGAAAAAAAAACCCAAAAACTTCTCTGAAAATAAAAAAACCTTAGATCACCATCAGTCACTGGATAACCTATTTTAAGCCCATCATAGCCAGTGTGCTGTTCTCATGTTGCTAATTAAAAATGATAGATTCATCAATTAATCTCTCTTCCTGTCCTCTAGTCTTAGTATGAGATTTTTCAAAGGGAAAAATGGTAGTTAGGTGCCCACAAGCATCATTTCAACCCTGAAAACTTGTGCCTTTCTCAACGTGTTCCCAACCCTGACTGTTTACACTATGAAATGACAAAAAGAAAACCTTAGAAATCTTTGCCACTCTGAAAAACATAACAGATTTATAATTATGAAATAGTCTTATCCACTGTACAGTGAACATTGCTACATAAATCCTCCCTGTGTTCCAATCCGAACTTGCTCACTGATAGATGAATAACCCTCTGTTAAATTTGGCAGAGAGAGATGTCCTAAGCTTAGTCTCTTGATTGAAACTCAATTGCAATATTACTACAGAGCAGTCAGAAATACTCCACTATTTAGGAAAGAAGCAACTAAGGCAATCTATTTTTATTCACATTGAAACGAAGACAAAGATAAAGGTCCAGTAGCTAGCTTAGCAAAGTGCCAGTCACATAAAGCATGCCGACGAAAGTGGTTATCTTTTCCTCTTTCAATATATGTATCACCAGGCAGAGAAATAGAATTGGGGTGTACAAGGTTAACAAGCCAGCATCATGTTATGAAGCAAGCGATAAAATTGTCTTACAGTTCTTAACTCTGACCTGTTCCAGTGAAAATCTGCCAAGCAGAATTATGTCATCTTGAACATCTCTCTCAAACTGCTCGATATATGAAGGAATCTCTACATCTTCAAGCTCCCTGTGAAGGTCACATGCCTTACTGGAGCTGACAGGCATCAAAGAGTCTGGAAAATCTTCACTGACGACACGGGCTGCTTGAAACAAAAGTGGCAGATTATCTCTTAGCAAATGGGAGTTTATTCACTGGTTAGTACCTTCTCAGTTAATATGTTTGGCCCACCAACATTTTAAGACAACAATTCATGTCATAAAATGAACAGTAATAAATAACATCAACAAGACAACTGGTGAGTGCCAAGTGCCAGTACCAGAATAACTGTCCTCAAGTGCAACATCTGCATACAGGTACAAAATCTAGCATGTGCAGCTTGTTCCTTAAATACTTTTTTAAAAGGCAGGCTCTACATTTCTATTGGCACTTTAGTCCCTTATAAATCTTAAAGGGATGGAGATCTGGAATAACCTTGGCTATCACTCCTGAGGAAGAGGAGTAATAACTGCAATTGAGGTTTTTGGGAGTTTTAGGTGAAGTCACACCACGTATTTCATCTTCCTCTCAACTCACCCTAAATGATTGGATTCTTTCCCTAGGTGTGTGCATGCAACTCCTGCCTAATTAATTGGGTTCTGTTCTGCTCTCACCCACATCATTCCCATGATTTCACTGTGAGGACAAATACAGAACCAAAGGGAACATGTCACATGTAAATAAGAATAAAACCCATTTATAAAGTCAACCTTAAAGAGAAACTTTGTCCTTCTTTCAGTTTAATTGGTCATGCTACATTAAAAAAAAAAAGAAAAGATCTTCTCACTGATATCTGCTACAGTACCAATACTAGTTTGGGCCATAAATAATAACAACTATTTTTGCTCGTTTCTCCACATTAGATTCACTAAAAAAATGACAGATATCAGATTGTCCACATCTGACTATCTTTCTTGCCTCATGTTTCTGTGTGTAAGCTTTTACAGATCTCTGTGCCTATCTCTTCAAGAAACTGCCATATCTAGTTATTTACTTCTCTTTGTCCATCCTATGACATGAAAGCAGTTAAAAGAGGATTTTTTTCCTCACTCCCCTTTGAAGTCTTTCATTCTCTAATGAAGACCAGAAAAGGAAAGATAAAACTAAGGCTATTAACATTTTCAGTTTTGTTAACTACTCGTTGTTTAATGACTTTAATTGTTGAACCTCCCGAGTACTTAAATCACCTCGGTGCCACCAACACACAGGAAGTAGGGTGGATTTTTTTATTTAATTACAACAGGATACAATTCAAAATCATGTTGGGGGAAGTGTACAGTAGATATAAACAACCCAAACCATTACCTTAGGGTACACATCTCTTCATGTAGAATTTTACAAGCCTAATGAAAAGTGATTTGACCTACACTATTAACTGCAAAAACAAAACAATATTTACATTTAAATTTACTGTAACATTAAGGGTTTGGCTAAAGAGAGAAAACCCAGTAAGCACTGGAAAAAGAAACATTGCCAAAACCAGAAGATGAAGCATGTCTTGTTCCCCTCAATGCTGTGTTGTACACAACAGGTCATACTCTCAGCTGGTATAAATCAGCTGCTTTACTGCTTTCACAGGAGCTCTGCAAGTTGACATCCTGGGGAGTCAGTAGAATCCTATCTCAGGATTCTCTGGGTGTAGAGACACAGTCCTTATATATCAAAACAGAATAAACCCACTTGTTTCAGAAAGACAACCATGAAGCAATTCATCAAAATATACTTTTTTTCTTTTTTTGTGTTTCTTATTTTGTGAGGAGTCATATTAAATGAACTCCCTTTTGGTAGGAGACACTGGGCTCATTAGCACAAGTTTTGTGGAAAAAGAGCAAAAGAAGAGAAAGAACATTTTAAAAGGCCTTTTCAAGGGAAGTAACAGCTAAAAATACAGAGATAAATTACAACTTAGATTTGAAAAATATTTGATACATATGCTCATTTAAGCATAGTTGGAAAACCTGCTCATTTGTCTGAGTTAGAAAGAACGAGAGAACAGAGTTAGTTCAGCCAGTCTACTCCTTTCACCGTCACTTTGCAAAGAAACCTCTCAAACTTGGTCATCCATTAGGTTGGTCCTTGTTTGAACTGATCCACAGTTTGGAGGCTTGAGTGATGCCCCAGAGTAATACTTGACTAAAACAAAGCAATAACCCCTCATTGTGCAAAAGTAGCCCCATCTACTACTTTGTATACACAGAATGAAATGGCGGAAATTTATGAGAAAATTCATTAATAGATTGATAAACTAATTAAAAACTTGTTGCTTCAAGTTGTTAGCATGGGCATCAAAATTTTCATTGCTTCAGCTGTACTTAACACTGCAAGTCATACTTTCCTTGTAATTTAAATCACTTCCCCTCCTCAGCACAGGCTGTGTCTGCAGATGCTGTTCTTGTAATTAAAATAATCTCCCCGGTATTAGCTTGGCTGCTTGTAACTTCATTTACTCCTGCCTTTGTCCATCAGATAACAGCACTTTATATATTGAGACGATAATTTAAAGGATAAGTTCAGCAGCAGACTACACCTCAGCAAAGGTTTGAAGGCATAAAACTGCTATACACTCCACAGGGAAAAAGAATTCTGGCTACCTGGTTCTAAAAAATTGTGTATAAATTGTATCTAAAGAAGTCCATTGCCAAAGGTTCATACATCGGTTTCAGACAACTAAAATGCTGCTAAACCTGACACTTGAATTTTTTGGTTCTTGCCAAAGAACAATATAATAGCAATTATTTTTTTGTGGTATTCACCTAACATCATTTAAGGTGTGCATGGATCACAATCCTACATTGTTTGAGAGATTTTATCACTAGGTAAAAAATATATAGTGTACATTTTTAAAATCGAACAACCTATGTTGCCTTTTGAATTGCCTTATAGTCTGAACTGAGACATGCCACAAGAATGACCAACAGGTTATTCAGCAACAAAATGCTTTAAATATACAATTATATAAATTTTGAGCCATGTTCTTTCCTTTGCTTTGGGGATCATCTATTAATTAGAACTGTATGACTATGTAATTTTTCAGCTCAGTGGTCAAATGGAGAAATGAAGCAGTTCTATAAGAGTGGGACCAAATGGATCCTAGTTTTATATGAATTTTCTGATGTCTAATAAGGGTCAAACTCCCATATTAGCTTTTCCCTCAGTGGAGACATTAATAATGCTTGTCTTCTCTGCTCAACTGCCTGCTTCCATAAAACTGGTAGGGAAGTCATACCTGTGAGTCTTACTCTCTGTTAAAAAAAAAGGTTTGGAAATGAACAACAAGTTCAAAAATTGGGAGGGAAAACCAGACAGAAATAAATACACTCTGATATATGCACACAGAGGTGGAAACTGCAGAAGCCTCATGTCCTCAGGAAGACCTTTTTCTTTTCTAGATTTTATTCACCAAAATAAAGAAAAGTAAAAAATTCAGCTAGAACAGTGTACAACTTCACACACAGGACTAGCTCTGACACCCATTACGGCACTCGTAAGACATAAAAGCACTGAGGCACTGCTTGGGACACACAACAGCAGTGGTCTGCAGTGTCTCCCCACATTGCCCCAACTCCCTAACGCCTACACAGGGGGCTCTGATGTGCATACGGAGTGTGAGACAGGCATGCTATTGCGTTTGCTTGTCCCTTCACTTTAGCCACCCAAAAAGCAATGGTCAAGTCTAAGTCAGTTGTCCAAGACCCTTGCAGAGACAACGGCAAGAGAAAAGCAGCTTCCAAGGTGCAATTTTTCTAACCAGTGAAGAGCTGCCTGTGTGAGCTGAGCTGACCCATTGCCCAGGGGTATTTCTGTCTTCCCTCTCTCACCACTTTGGGGGAGCCCCAGTAACTAAACTTTCAGAAAGCTAATGTAAAGGGGCAGCCTATAAAATCACGTCAGGAAATTGTCCTTAATCATACAACATTATTTTGATGATAAACCTACTGATGAATATGAAATGCTGTAAATATTTGTAGAACAGGGACTAGATAATTCACAGATAGACACCCCGATATTTCATAGGGAAATAATGTTGGTTTCACAGACAAACATGGTTTTATTTTCATCTACGTTGTTGCATGATAAAAGCAACAATCAACCTGAAGCAGTGGTATAATCTTTTTCAGCAATGTGGTGCTCTCCTTTAACAACAACAATAGAGAGCTTGCTGATAATTTGCTAAAGGTGTTTGTTTAAATTGTCTGCATGAATTTAGTTGTGATAGTTGCACTTTTTTTCCTTGCACTTAAGATGTGGCAAAACGTGTTTCAAAGATGTTACTGATATGATCAGTGCCAGTTCAAGAGATTTTTCAACCCTAGGTGAATGAAAACATTTACCTCTTCTAGAGCAAAGATGTCTATATAGTCATAAAACTAAATAGTCATAAAACATGTTGCAGCTTCTGGAGCTCCAGTGCTGTGGGCAACCACCTACTTGGTCTCTTTGGCAGAGTAGGCCCTGTGTATTGCTGAAATACGACAGGAAACCTCACACAGATATGAAGAACAGAAAATGCTCTTGTACAAAAGACCTCCACTGAAAAATGCAAGCAGGGATACACAAAAATACAAGGGCAGGCCAGAGCTGGGGCTTGTACATCTCCTAGGATGAACCAGAGGAGAGCAGTAGACATGGACCTCGTGTAAAGGCTATAATGGTAACAGTCTCATGAATCAGCTGCTTTTTTAATAATGCCTGTGAAAATAAGTGAAGCCAAAGTAAGGTTGTTGGCTTGAGGTGAAGAAAATCTCTTCTCCTGTACTTTATTGCTTTTGCTGTATATGGAACATCAATATGTATGTTCTAACAAAGTCACAGAAAACATTTCCTTCTTCATCTGTTACTGTAAATCCTTATATAGGTAACCTTAAACTCTGATGTCAGCCATGCATCTGACAAATGGCCCACCCATTTGTCAGCTTAAAAGAGGATTTGGATTTCTAGATTTGAGTATATAAGCAATGGTATTTCCAGTCTTCTTTCCTAAGTGTGGAATTCAACATGCAGTGAAGTAATTTAGAGAAAACACGCCACTTAAGTTACACTTTAAACCACATAAACATGACTCAAAACAAAAACATTTGGAGAAAGAGACCTTACAGGCTTACATTAAAATCAGCATCCCTTTGACTTCTGAGTTCAAGGGGATGGATTACCCACTATCCTCCCCACACGCACTCTCAAAAGAGTTTTGTTTTCCTTTATGCAATTGATTTTGTTATTTACCTTGGAAGTCCAGCATCTTGTTTTCTTCGTCTAGAAGCTTCATCAGTTTAGAGTACAGGATCTGTTCATCAGATTTTACAGGGTCTTGAAAAAACAACAGTGAAACAGCTATTGTTTCTTCATGTACTATTTCAGGAAACACTATTTTAAACTAAAAGTAGGATATAAAAATAGGAAGCCATTTGACACTTAAAGATAGTTTACACAGTGCTTCTTTCAGAGCTCAGAATAAAATTACAGTCACCTCTTCTGTGAAAGACAATTTAAAATAAAAAATATATAATCATATATTTTGAAATGGTGAGCATAATTATATGTTGACCTGGACTGAAACTGGTTTATTAATTCTGCTAATAGACTAGCTGAAACTATTTATACTCAAATTGTCAGATGAATTCTGTTTGACTCTCAGTGAAAATCAAAATATACAATTTCTATTCTAATGTGATTTTGGATCTTCATCAGAAATTTTACCTTCCTTTCCATAATACTAGCATATTATCTAGTATGAGTAATTACAGCACACTATAAATTTTGATTTGGTGGCTGGTCAGTCATGAGAATTGTCAGTAATATCTGCAGATTTTAAAAAGCAACAAAGGACACACACACTTACCTTTTTCCATGAGACCTAAAAAAAAAATATCACCTTAAGGGTCTATATTCAAGGGTAAATTCAGCAAGTGTGACTGTCTTCTCTCCAGATCTCCCAGACTGTGACTTCTCTAAGCTGGCAATGAAGATAGGCAGATAGAAGGCCAAAGAAATGCATACAAGACAGGTGGATTGAAGTACAGCTACAAGCAACCTTGGGTGGCTCTTTTTAAGTGCTCGATAGAATCTCAAAGAATAAATTTTCTTTACCATGAAATTTCAGAGCCAAGTTTTTCTGTTACACTGAGCATTCAAAGAAGGTGGTGGCTTCTGCAAACCTCTTTTGAAAGTACAGAATCTGTTACATTTAACATTGAAGTGTCCCCCTAGTGAAGGGGTCAAGCAAATCCATAGTGAGAGGTTGTTTGTTCTCAGATCATTAACAGCTCAGAAGAATTTCCAAAACAAATATAATTTATCAAAGGTAGAGAAAATAATTGTCAATATCTTTATTTTCACAGAATAACCCATTAAAGAAGAAGCGGTGGCTGAAGATTTGCTTTTCACCAGCTATTCTCTTTGGGCATTGGGCCTGACTTTCTTAAGTCCTAAGAAGAGTTTAACTTTAAAATGTGGCCTGATTTCTCCATGCCTTTCTGGTTTTGGGTCTTGCTTGTGACAAGCTGCTAGCTGGAATGAGGAGATAAATCAATATGGTTTCCAGTTAGGGGATGGCCATGCAGAGGACCATGCAGTTCTGACCATCCTTTTATCTCCATCCACTACATATAAATGTAGTTCCACTTATTTAACACTTCTGCAAGAAAAAGGAAGCCAGTGAGCCTGGTTTGTGAGTATTACCAAATCAGACTGGTTTAAGATGGGATGGCACCTCTGGAGTCCATCTAGCCCAGTTGCTCCTGCTCAAACAGAGCCACCTAGAGCCAAATTGTCCAGAACCCTGTCCAGGCAGCTTTTGAATATCTCCAAAGTAGAAGACTTGCTCTTGGCAGAGGTGTTGGTAAATATACCATTAAAACTGCTCTACAACCAATACTGTTGCTAACAGACTTTTAATAAGCAAGTGTTACCCCAACATATGAGTGACATTTTTGCCTGGAAGAAAAAGGAGGGGTATCAAAGGACAGCTGTTTACACATGGACCTCAGGTTTAACATGATACGTAATTGCCTTAAACTATCCCCCAAACTCCAAAACCAAGAACTCAGTGGACTTTCTAAGAACCTTCTTCCGTTCCCAAATTTAAAATAAATAAATAGATAGAACCCCTACCACAAAATACAAAATCAACATTTAAGGTTAAGTGTATCACTCAGCCTCTTCAACACAGTCAAGAGAACTGGTTTTCTCCCAGTGAGAACTATACTTACATATATCCCTTATGTTTCCACCAGATGCATATGTACAGATACAGAAATTTAATCTGCTTTTCATTTTCTGGTTATGAAGCAGATCTTGACTCACAAAGCCTACTCATAGGATAAACCAATGCAGGACCAACAGGAAAAAAATCTTTCATTTAAAAACTCTAAATCAGAAGTTGACTTGCAAGGTATTACACTGCTGTCCTACACAATGAATGGGGAAATTATTTGGATTAGATGTAATTCAATCTTGATAACCCGATGTTTTTTTTCACCAGAACAGAAATTCAAGTCACTGACATGTATTATAGGTTGGGGTTTTTTCAGTTACACAAGTTTTTGTCTCAAAAGTTTAAAACCTCCATATGTCGTCAAAGTTTCTCATGAATTTCAGAACTGAACTACTTTGAGACCCTTTGTAGTAGATAACTTTTTATAATCTGACTACATCTGCACATCTAGAGAGTTTCTGCAGTACAAATAAGCACACACTTCAAAAAAAAAAAACCCAAAGGCCTAGAAGCATAACACAGGAGAGTTGGATCTTGCGTGCTATCAGGTTGTTAGGGCTTAACAACAGGAGCTGGGCCAAAGCATTCAGTGCATAGCTAAGCACTTCATTACCATGAAGATGTTCTTACTTAAGTCCATGCAAATTCAGGCAGGCCCGTTCCCACCCTTTTTTATCTAAAAGCCATGACAGCAGAGGAGAATTTCCTCTACTAGACAATACCTCCTGATTAATCTCTCTCATACCTATGCAGAACTTCTGTTCTTCCAGCTCTGCTGAGTTGCACCCTCCCACCCATCCCTATCGTCCCCAGACAGCAAAGCTAAATATCTTGGATAAACCAGAGGAAAAAAAAAATTACAAGAAAGCCTCCTCATGCACTTTTATGCAGTCTAGGGTTTCCTTCTGTTAGGCAAACACACATTCAACTCAGTAATAAAATTGCTCTCCAAGGAGGACTTTGGGAGCAGGGTTGCGAAAAAGCTACAGCTTAGCACTCAGTTCTGGACTAACTTCATTAATTAAAGAGAACATGGTGTAGACAATGCTCTTGGAGCGTGCTTCTTTTTGCTACAGTAGCGGAGTGAATACAGCACAGCCTCATTTTTACCCGCCCATTAACTCACTGTCCTTGATCAAAGACTATGTATACTGCCTATCCCGTTCAGAGCAGTTAAGGTTTAGAATTTAAATTGTAAACCTCAATATTTAAATAGAACTGCATATGTGATCTCTGTCACCTCATTTTCATGAATGGAAAAGAATATTCTGACACCAAAATTACATACTTAATTCTGCCTCACCTTCTTCACTGACCTCCATCCCACATTGCCTTGGGTTTATTTCCTCATCCATCAACGGGTCAAAGTAATTTCTGCTGTATTCATTTCCTGTGGAAAGCACATGAAGTAAGGGTCAGCGATTATTAGAAGCACATGAACTAAAATGTTAATTTTGAAATCGACACCAGCAAGCAAAGGGGCATTTTTTGCTACTTTACAAGCTTAATTTTTTTAACAAGTCCTCTAAGCCTACTGGTACTGCAATTATCTTCTTGTGAAAGGTCAGAAAAGGTAATTCTGGAAACAAGTGCACTTTATGTTACTTTTGCTCAGGAACTAATGAGAAAAAATTCTCAAATTTAGATGACAGAAAGATAAGAAAAATTTTAAAAAATCCAGCATCCCTAACATAAGCCAAATTATTCTTGAAACACATTGTGCAAGTGAATTATCCATACTGCAGAGGAATTTGTGTTTCACAGCTGACCCCTTCAGTTTCAACAGTTTTAAATTTCACCACTGAGGTTTCAACGTCTGGTGCATCTTTAATACTGTATTCAACCAGAAAAGTGTTTAATTACAGAGGAGATACTAGGATACTGCCTCATTAATCTGAACTGCAATTATGTTCAGTTGGACTAGATAACTAATCTAAGATTTTGATGGGATAACCAAATCATTTTAGCACTTTCTATTTTAACAGCTAATTTTATCTGTTCTTTAGAAAATAAACAAGTTTACCAAAAAGTCATTTGTTAGACTTATCAAGAAATAGTGCAGCATCTAGCTGCCTAGAGGAACTCAGAATAAAAGCCAGAAGACTTTTCCTTATATAAGGAGGGAGGATGGACCTTTTAATCAAAATATGTCTTTCCTTCAGCAAAAATGCTACACTATTAAAACCATCCACATGTTCACTGGGTTTGCAAACACAGTAAATTATAATTAAAAAGGAAAAAAAAGAAGCAAAATAATTATGTCCATAACAAATTTTTAAATTGCTTGAATTGACATTGATCTATATCCTGGTAAATACATAAAAGCTAAATGTATGAGGGGGTTAATTCATCCTAGATACACTATGGTTGTCTACAGTGTATTTGTTTTAGGATCAAAAATAATCCAAGCGGTAGCTCCTTTTCAGAGACTAAATGAAACTCTGATATGAAACTAGGTTTAATTTATATTTCTACACTGGCACATTTTGACTGTCAGTCTCTGTTCCTTCAATGTAGTAAGTACAAGAACTGAAAATTTGCTTTACCTTGAGGTCTCAATAAAGAAAAAATAAATGAGTTTCATTTTTGTTACTTTATCTGTCAACAACTACTAGGCTGGTATGAATCTTGGCAGTATGTAATCAAAGTCTTATGTACTGCAATAACAGAGCCATTCTACCTTATTCACTGTAATTGTTTTTCTCTAGCACAAAGCACCATGATGTTATATGAACACCCCTTCATATGTTGGTAAAATAATTCACCTATGTGCTAAAAAAGATAATGGTGATGCATTTCTTTATTCAATCACTTCATAGTTGTAAATGTAAATTGCTGGAAAGTATGTTGCACCCATAGAAACAATACTCAGCTCCTGCATAGGCTTTTTGCACAATCTTACAATCACAACGGCTTTTACTGAATTTTAATATCCCATGCGAGTCTAGTGTGAAACTTTGAGGACTAGACTTTTGGATAAATCCTCTGGACATATTAATTGACATTTAGGAGGATGTGTCATGTTATATTTGAAGCTGCAAGACATGGAAACCATTATTCAAGAAAGAGATACCTTGACAAATACCATTAAATAGCTTGTTCTTTGGTCTTCTTTAAAGAAAGAACAACCTGAACAGTTTGAGGAGTATGAGATATTTTGTCCAGGGCTTTGGCTCTGTAAGAACCACATGCAGCTGGATAGAGACAGTTATGCAGAAGTAAAAAGAACCATGAGGCTTGATTTCTTCAGTGCAACATAACACAGTTTAAAACCTACACAAGCAGAATGAATGGAAAACACCAGAATCACCTCTATAGTGATTTTATAGATAGCAAGCTATTTTAAACTGCTGGACTCCACAGAAGACATTTAGTGAGGCTTTCAGAATTGCTGAAATCATTGCAAACCTTAGGTCACGCCTCTGGGTGTGTGTGGGGAGGTGCTGTTTGTGGTGGTTTTGGTGTTTTTCCCCCTCTGCTCAACTCACACCTTGAAAACTGGTGTGACCAGGAGGTCTGGGCTCTGGGCAGGTCCTAAAATTTGTCAGGGACAGTGGAAGTTATTTAGCTTTAAAATACAAAATTATCAATTTTAGTCAACATAACATACTGCTCAAGGCATTTTGCTAATAACATTTTGTGAGCATGTGAACAGATTACTAATCATTTCACATTTGCTTTCGGAAATATTTGAAAGTGTATAACATGTAAATTGACAGTCCACTGAGGAATTCATATTGCTCTGCTTTGTGGTGTAGACACAGTAAATGTTAATACAGAGCTTGCTTGTAGGTATTTTGAACAGCAGTGTATAGCTTGGTGCTTTCAGAGTTACTTTGAATACCTGCTCCTAAAAAGACTTAGCCAACTTTAGAAACTTAGGTCTTTGTTTTGACCCAGAGGCTTCCTCAAACCCATTAATTCAATTTGAAGTGCCATTCACCCCTCAAAATTGTGTTATTTCATGGGGAAAATGCAATGGATCATTCAGGAAATCAGACTTGAAGTGCAAAACCACAGATTATATATAAATTAAAATAAAAATGTAAAGAAGGGTGTTAGCACAACAGTGACCAGGTGGGAATTTATACAGTTTAATTAAAGCAAGAGGAGTTGCTAATAAAATTAGCATAATCCTTGGGTATAGCCCATGGGACTGTATACATATTACTAGGACTGGATGAAACTTAAAAGATGCCTGTTAAACTAAGATGTCTGTAGTCAATTATCCAGTCTATGTCCTGAGAATACCACACAGGAAAGGCATGACTAAGCTGCATTTCTACATCATCTTCTACTCCACAAAGCGATCACGTTGTCTGTATCAATTACACATCAAAGATATAGCGTGGAATTTGTATAACAGGCAACTATTCTATTCATATTGTACTATTGATCTCGGGTTTTAGTTTAATGAAAGAATAGACAAAACTCTGTTTGATCTGTTAAGTGTCTCCTGACCAATGTAAAAATTAAGGAATTATTAATAACCAGGTGACTGGTTACTAAAAGCTTGAATAAGCAATAATTACTGGTGCTAGTTTTCAGAGTGGTGCTGGATCTTCAAGATAAAAGAAAAAAAATTTGGCATGAGCCATCTTTTTTTAGAAAACAGTATGCAGGGTATGGTCTGTGCAAACTTGCCTTGCTACGTAACAAGTCCCATTTCAGACAGCAGCATGGTCAACACATGTCTACCAATAACTTGGTAGAACATTACTGGGCATTACCAAGGAGTGGTGGGTTGACCTTGGCTGAACTCCAGGTGCCCACCCAGCCACTCTATCACTCCCCTTTCAAGCCAGACACGGGAAAGAGTAAGATGGAAAACAACTGGTGGGTTGGGATAAGGCAGCTTATTAAAGCAGAAGCAAAGCAAAATCTTACATGAGCAAAAGGAAACCAAAACATAACTTGGTTTATTCTCTACTTCCCATGAGGAGCGATGATCGGCCGCTTCAAAGAAGCAAGGCTTCGGGACGCATAATGGTTCCTCAGCAGGTGGCCACTGGAGATAATGAATGCCCCCCTTCCTGCTCCTTGCCTCGGCTTTTATATCTGAGCTGACCTCACATGATGTGGAATATCCCTTTGGTCAGTTCGGGTCAGCTGGCCTAACTTGTGTCCCCTCCCAGGACCTTGCCCTCAACTAAGGAAGGAATGTTACAGTGCTGGTGCCGTGCTCAGCAGTAGCCAAAACACCGGTGTGTTATCAACACCCTTCTAGCTACCAATGCAAAGCACAGCACTGTGAGGGCTACTGTGGGGAAATGAACTCCAGCTCAGCCAGACCCAACACACAAAGCAACCCATAAAAGTCTTTTGCATAAGATAGAATAAGACAGAGGTATTTTGGAAAGATGAAATTCGGTCGGAGAGAGCATTCTGACTCAAAGTGCTCTCAAAACATAGTGGTACAGCTGGAAATGGAAAAGAGTAGTCCTTCTTTCCCACATCTCTCTTTAAACCTTGATTTCAACAGCAATTCCTATTAGGGAACTCACTCATTCAACAGAACTGATTTCCCTAGGGATACTTCTCATTTTACCTAATAGATATGGCCCTGTGGGCAGGCCAAACTTAAGGTTCTGTGCTACCATATTCCTGGGTTTCTTTATGAGACTGAGACTTGGGTCCTGTCTAAGAGAGGTGCCCACCCCAATTTGGCCAGAAAGAATTAAGACTTGGGAATAAAAGAAAGGGAAGACAAGGGTCCCAGCCCCTGCATTTCCAGTTACTTCACTCATCCTTCCTCAAGTCATGGTGGATCACGTGACTAGCACTTCCACTCACCTGTTTTCATGATTCAGTACCTACATTGATAAAGTTTGATATCTCCAAGTTGCTTCTTTATTGATTAAGGCCTTTGCTTCTAATCTGTACTTTGAAAAAATTCTCTAAAGACCCTTAAAAAACTCATTCAAAAGAATTCTAGAATAAGAGAGGAGAAAGAAACCTTTCACCTTAATAAAAAGCTCACAGAATGTAGAAGTTTAAAAAAAAAATCATCAACCAAAACTGCATAAATAGTGAGAGTTCCTGGACAGTGAAAACCTGATTTGGTTTCCAGTGAGTTTATAGGTTCTTACTTCATTTAAACAATGATTTAGAAATGTAAAATAATGTAGGAAGGTTTGAAACTTACACAAGAAAACCTTATGAGTTTTTATACCAAAATTTTGTGTTGCTAGATTTACTTAGACCTAAATGTTATGAAGATGTTAAAAATAAAACTATAGTCCTGTAGTGAATTGATATGTAATCTACAAAACAATGTTAGCTCTGCATTCTCATTTTGTCAAGGAAAAAAAAAAAGGAATTATTGTGAGTTAACCAGAAGTTATACTTTCAGTTTGGGTTTTTAATTGTCCTTGCTAAATCATATTTGTC